TGACTGTACTCAGGACGTTAAGTGACGATGGTGCGATCTTGATTAAGGGACCGGATAATCATCCGGACAAAACTGATTCGTACTGTATACTTTAAAAACACCGACGACATGTATACACCCTTCAACAAAATTCCTACAGACCTAAATTTTAGCAAACCGCATATCGCTGGGGATTTTTGATCACAAGAGGTTTCTCAGCATACACGGAATGCATACACGGAACCTCGTTACGCGGTAGACGACGAGCTTCTGCGGGCAGATTGTAGCTACCCACAGCATGGAATTGCTGATCGTCGATCATGGACACGACACCGATAGGACACCCGAGACGCTTCGCTGCCACTTGGGCGATGAGATTGAGAGCGGAACGATCGTAATTTGACTGTAACGCGCCTGAACTTTCGATCAACTCAACACGACGCGCATCCTTCTGAGCTTCTGGCTTCGGAGCCAATGGGATGTCTGCGTGTGTGACTTTGTTTGCGTCGAACTCGTACTTGTAGTCTCTCGTACGGTCACTGACGTCACACGCTTGAGCACTAGAATTATGCTGGGCTTTCGAGAGTTCCTCGTTTAAGTGACTCTCGATGTTCGACAGGACATCCTGCACCTGGGTCTTTTGCCTCCCAGAAGACTGCTCGGTCACCGACGAGTTCGCCACCAGCTTTCCTAGCTGTTCCAATGCGTGACTACGAGCCTTAGGGTCGTCTGAACACAGTTGTCCCATTAGATCTTTGTCCTCCTCATCAATTGAACTCATGGAGTCAGTTGGCAACCACGCGTCCGATCGAGTCTCCACGATCATCGGACCCAAAGCAGCCAGCAAATCCTCGCCGTCAAACTTGCCCGCATCCACACGAACAACACACAACCGGCAGCATCGATTCTTGCGAATCTCACCGATACGAGCCTCCACCTCGTGGAGTTCCGAACAATTTCCACACACCATGTGGCCACAGAGTTGACAATAGAAATCTCGACGGAAGAAGTGGAACGTTTTGTTGCAGATCAGACACCGTTTCTCCAGAAGTGGATCTGCGTATTCCTTCGGGAAGTAAATGAAGGACTGGAACCCGAAGCGACGACGACGAATTACTCGCTCGAACTGAGACAGAGACTCGGTTAGTATCCGCATGATGCTTCGCGTCTCCGGGTTCATCAGTGTAGCACGACGTCGTGCCAAATCTGAAGACAGAGTCTCTGGATCCTCAGTCATAATGCTTCGCGGTGGTTTGTCCGAAGCGTACGCGTGAGCAAATATCTGAGTACGCTGCCGGTTGCTCCCTCCAGGACTCGGTACAAACTGCATGTCGAAGCCAACTCCAAGGTGATCGATCTCTGGGTGTAAGGGCGAGCTGTGAGGCGCTGGTAGGGTCTGGTCGTAGACTCCTTTCGGCACCGTTTTCATTAGATGCACGGCATGTTTCTTGTCTGAGTACTGACGTGTGTATGTCGCAAAGACGAGCTGGTGGGATCGACTGTGACGGGATCGAAGACGCGTCTTCAAGCTAACGTCAGGACGCATTATAGCTGACGCGACAGAGATCACTCCGGGGTTCGCTTTCTTGTCTTGCGTTTGACAGTTTGAGTCGGTTGGCACACGCTGGTGGAAGAGCATTTCGCCCTTCTTGAACTTCTTCCCACATAGTGATTTCATTGTAGAGTCGTAGCAATTTGTGTATTGATGCAACAGCACACTTAGAGCTTCGTTCAAATGGCAGTGAAGCTCAGTTTTGGCTGCCAATGCATGCATAATGTCGGTGTCGTCGTCTATCTCGACTGTTGAGTAATATGGCTTCAATTCGGCGACGTACACGCCACCTTTACCTGTGCTGTGTTTCCACCGCTCACCTTTTGCATTGTTACGTACTGCTGCTTGGAGTTTCGGCATCGTAGCTAAAAACATCGTCGCAGATCTCCACGTCGGAGTACACGAACTTCCTGACGGACACTGTGCACTGCCAGGCCGCTGACTTCTTCTTCATCCGAATTGGCGGACGCACTTGCGTACTTATCTTCTGACTGCGTGTTGGAGGTGTTGGACAGGACGGCTGTCGTATTCCTCGAGCTGTCCCACGAATGCATAGTGCGCCGACAGTTCATGATTGTACCGTAGTAGGTTTATTAATAAAAGGGAATACCGGATCAGAATTGGGGAGTCCGTCGAATTGGCAAGTGATATTCCGACATGTTAAACAAAAAATCGGGGGCCCCAGCGAAGCACATAGGGTGATTGTGAGAGTCCAGCTGTACTCGCGAAGTTGACGGTCAACAATGATAGTACCAGCCTGGTACCATCATTATTATTGGTAACCAGGGCAGGTGAGTTTGATTTGGGAGAACAGGAACACATTTCCATTTCCCTTGATCGAAAATTTGGACAAAGGCTCTCTATGCGGTCCTCAACGTAAAACAAAAGAATTTCAAGTTTAAGTGTTACGGTGGTAGTAGTTCTGCCATGGATAATGATTATTGCTTTTAAAAACAGTGACTGTTTTTTTTAAATAGTGGAAAGTGTGGGCAGATCGTCCAGTAAAAACTACTACCGGTAAGATATTAAATCGATCTATAATAAGTACGACCAGAGGCTAGGGTTAAATTACTTGAGAGATCAATTTATAATAGTGCGCAACATTTTCTACCGTTTACTTAAGAGTGTAAATAGTGGCTCGACGATCATGATTGCCGATCATTATCGACCGTCACCCTTGCTTTCTTGCCCGCCTCCACTGGCGCTAGCGGCAGTAAGCAAAACACCTTCCGGTAGAAATAATTATCGAACCGATTTGCTCCACCACCATCTGGAGGGCGACTGATGTTCTTTCTGAGTGCAAGCTGCTTCCAAAGTGAACATCGCCCCTTGAGGAAAACAGGGATCTTGCGAAATTTTGCCTAAATGATGGCATTCGCAAAATGCTATAAAAGACTTCCCTGCTCCGTTTGCGACCAGATCAAGTTTAGCGCCGACCTCTCATTTTTTGTGTTCTTACTGTACTCACGTGTTTAGCTTAGCTAATAAGTGATTGTTCGGTAGATTCTTGCCTTTATCACTCCGTAAAGCACAGTAGGATATTCCAACCCGATCCAGGATAACGCTGATGGACCGCCCGCAGCATTATGTACGTGTGAAGCACAGCTACACCCAGCCCAGCGCCATAACGAAAGCAGCAAGAGCGGCGACTTTACCAGGAAGCTATTGACGAAGGCTAAATAGACTACTTTCTTCGTATTATTGTTAGGCACCAACCAGCAGGTTGAAAGCAGCGAAAAGGCAATTGGGCTTAGCAACCGTATGTAGTACCAGCAAGTGGCTTAAATAACTTATATAAGCTTAGCAGTGGAATCGTCAATTAAAATAAACTCTGGTTTGTTTTACTATATTTTTTACATTTTAGTAGTGACAGTAAAGCTTTAACTGTCTTAATTACCTTGCCAAAATTTACACCCTCCGACGTCTTGTGTGTTCACATTACCATGGTCATGCATAGCAGTGGTATTGTAAATTTCGGTCATACTGGGAGGACAGCTTTTGCTGGCTGGAGAGCCTAACCAATTTTACTACATCGGAGGTGTGTAAAACGCTCTCAAACTCTCTTGTGCGATGCAGTGTATAATGGAAAGTGATCATCATTACCAAAAAGATTACTCCTGCACTACGTGTTCTAGAACTCTGGAATGCCCGTAGGTAGCTCTGCAATATTCAGTGACCATCACTATCAGGCAAGTTGCCCTACACAATAAGTGACAGTGTAGCTATTGCCTTCAACTCCCTCAACTTGCTGTTCCTGTACTTTAAAGTTCACCACGCCGCTCTTATTCACGAGTGTGGCAAATTGAGGAGTCGGCAGTGGTTTCGTTAGATAGTCAGCCAACTGAAGTTTAGAAATCACGTGCTCGATCTCGATAGTGTGCTTCTGAACGTGATCCTTGATGAAATGCACACGAAGTTCGATGTGCTTGGCCCGTGAAGTGTATCCATTATTGGTTACCATACTTATCGCTGCCTTGTTATCCAGCAGCACCTTAGTAGGGCCTTTGATTTCCATAGTCATCTCCGTTATCAGTTGTCGAGCCCAAAGCATCTCTTGAAAAAAAAAGTAGCGGCGACTGCCATGTATTCGGCTACAACGCGACAGTCGCTTCTTTCTTGGACTTGAACACAACCGGTCCACCACACATCTGAACGAAGTTGAACGCCGAGTACCAATAGATAAATGACAACCCCAGCTAGATTCGCTAAATGCCAATATCTTGAATTTAGTCTCGCGCTTTTATTAAATAAAGGAAACGTTCATACTGGAATCAAATTTTGATTCGAGGTAACGCAGCACACGAGCTGCAGCTTTTCAGTGCATTTTATACAGGGATCCTCAAACACACACTTACTGAAAATATATTTTTTTTAACTCGTGAAAATAACTACACTATGGGTTGGTCACAATTTAAACATTTATTTATGGATTTTGTGTATTCCTTCACGAAATTTAATGTCCTTGTTGGGCAGCCACTAAATTTTCGCTGGCTCAGAACTGTCGGTGCGACCGACGCAAACCCACTGTTACGGGGTCACACAGCACCTTGCGCTAAAGGAAGTTTGCTTCCGAGAGTATACGAACTCTTAATGAGCGGTAGGTCCCCTTTTTGCCAAAGGGAGCGAAGTGACTAATTTAAGTTGCAAACTAGATATATTTGTAGGATAAGCTTGAGCTAACCATAAGTCGCCTACAGAAAAGCAATGTCATCTGCCAATGGCTGGCCTCGGACGACCCTGGTACCATGTACCATATATTCCGAAGTATGACGTGTCACACTTAATGTAACTTGGGGTACACTTAGGTCTACGTACCCCGTTACCCCCCCTCCCACACTTAGGTTCGGTTTACCGACCAATCAGAATGAAGGAGTGTACGTCACAAACTTTCATTCTCAAAGTTGAAATACATCGACTTCGCTGCATGAGCGCGGCGGAGGCTCACTTCACAGTTAGAGCCTCGAGCAGTAGTTGAGCGCTCTTTTTCTTGGTCTCCACATTGACCGTTATCATGCCCCGTAACACTGCGAAGAGCGGTGCGAAGACACGCTCCAAGGCTGCTGCTGGAAAGGCGCAAGCCAAGAGCGCTAAGCCTCACGGCAAAGGCTTTGCACTCCAGGAGGCTACCAAGGTGGCCTCGGAGGCGATCGGCTCAACTGGTGACGCGGTTGTGAGCAAACTCGTGAGCAAGCGCCGCAGTCCGTTACCTTCGGTCTCCCCAGACAGCCGTCCGAATCCTCGGCTCGACGAACGTGAGCTCAGCACGGGCAGTGAGGACGAGGCTGAGAGCACTCACGATGCTCCTGTGGGCTCCGTGGAAGGGCACACTCCAGTGCCCAGCGAGCACAATGACGACAGCTTACAGTCGCTCGCTAGTGATCCTATCGCAATCTAGACCGGGGGCATTATTTGCACAGTACACAGTGTAACGATTCAGCTTGCTCAGAAGTGTCCTAAATGTTATTCATAATACCGCTATTAAAAGATTAAAGCCTTGTCGTATAAGAAGAAAATGTCCCCTATACGCTCTTAATAAACAGTGTTTTTCAATTCAGACAAGCACAACACACGATCGAGGAAGTTTCCCTCTCAGTACGTCGTCTTCATCTTCGTGCAAGCGCAGGTATTCAAGCGATCAATATACAGGAGGGCCCAGCTCCTAATAGTAGCTGCACCAGCAATTGCGTTAGTAGCAATTGAGCCTTGAGGCTTTCTTTTAAACCATCACCAACGCATAATATGCATACCGCGTTGAAAATAAATGCTTTAGACAACAACATGATGCAACATACAAGAAATTTATGATACGTATCCACCACAGCTAGGAACAAATGCGATCTTACCTGGCACCAAGGTACACTAAAACAATGGTACACTCAAGTTAAGCTGCAGACAATTTAGTATTCCCGCTCCCTAACCGAGTAGCCTGTCTGTCCGTCCGTCTGTCAATCCGTCCGTCCGTTTCCTTTCTTGCTGCTTTTTCCTACCTTTTTGCATGGCTACACCCGACCGTTCTAATACCGTTTCCTCCCATCTTACCGACCTCACCTATCTTTCTGACTCGACCTAGCTATGCAAAATTACAAATATATCCAAAAGCGTCACACAACTAACTCGCGCGCATTGGTCATTATTTGTCGACCTGCGACACTGCCTGGATCTGTCGCACTATCAGACCGTCTCTCGCCCTCGCGATTGGACGTGATGTAAACATTTCTGCCGCGAACGAAACGCATCGATTGGATGCAAACGACCAGGCGAGCTGCGTTGATGATTGATTACTTACATTTAGCTACGCAAAACGTGTCGTATCTACTGTAAATCGGGCACAGTATTAAACTCAGTTATAAGAGCTCTGCAAAGTTGTT